TTTTTTTTATTCTTGATTTGTTACTTAAAAAAATTGTAATGAGAGGTAGCTAAACTCGAGAAGTTGTTTACGCCATTGTTAATTTTGTTAGAGACCTGCAAGTGAGATGGTTCGAGCTGTAAACAAATTTAAAGCGGATTTCGGTGGACAATTTATTTCGTTGGAGAGAGTTCAACCTTCATCAGATCACGTTCCTCACAGGTTTGTTTTACGTCTCTTAGTGGTTGGAAAGATTTTTGAACTTCTTTTTATGGTTTCTATTTTAGAGAAATATCTATGGATTTCCGAATCACGGCTGCGTTTGCGTCCTAGTTTGAATACAGAATTGAGGATAAAATTTTGAGTATGGAAATGCTTTTGATGAGGCTGTATCAATATGTTCTATCATGAAATAATTAATTTATTGAATGATAATTATTAAGTTTGTTCTCTCTTTACTAGATGGGTACTGTGGTTCCTAATGCTCAAAGTTGGTTTCATTTATATGCAAATTAACTTAAGGAGAATATCTTAATGTAGGTATCTACTCGCTGAGGCAGGTGATACATTATTTGCATCATTTGTTGGAACTAAGCAATATAAGTAAGTCTTGGAGTTTCTATTCCCTGGAAAATTTTACAGGTCAGAATTAAGAGATGTGTGTTTTTATTCGTGGGTGTGTTCGTTTTAGGGACATCATGGCCGATGCAAATATACTTCAAGGTCACATATTTCATGATGATGTCGCAGAGGATGAATGCGTTGCAGCATCTGAACCTATACAAAGTGAACCGCAGAAGAATAACGGAGAGGGTTTGCGGAATCCTCTTGATTCAAAGGCTAAGCAACGTAGTCAGAAACCCAAACCTGCTGCTCATCGGGTATGCTTGAGGCGCTGTTGGAGTAATATTCTTTTTTATTTTTTGTCTCTTCGGTACACTAAAGTTATCATTAACAACTAGGGATTCTTGGCTCGTGCTAAGGGGATACCTGCTCTGGAACTATATAGGCTTGCTCAGAAAAAGAAACGAAAACTTGTATTATGTGGACACTCACTTGGTGGTGCTGTAAGTCTTATTGCTTTAGATTTTTGTACCTTTGTAGCTCATTGTCTAATGTCGACATCTGACTTCTCTTTGATGACTCCCGGGTTTTGTATTTGTATTTTAATTTACGTAGGTAGCTGCGTTAGCTACACTCGCCATATTGAGGGTTGTTGCTGCCTCGTCTACAAGGAAAGAAAATGAAAATATTCATGTCAAATGTATAAC